AAAAATATTTTTGCAATATGGTTTTCTTTCAGTATCTCAATTAATATCCCAAAAGAACTCCCCACAGCTTCACTGTCAAAGACTACTCAGATTCATTCCTTGCAATGTAAAAATCATGCAAAACTGGGAACAAGAGATAAACTTACTGCTTTTTTTTGCATTCAATTGCTCGATCCACACTGAAGTCTGGAAGTCTTATAAATCCTTCTGCTTTTTCAGCCTTTCATAAAAGAAAAACAAAAATATCACCACATCAACCAACTGGTAAACTAGTATACTCCAATGGTGAATAACATTTAACATGCAAGTGCTTGTTTTTGACAGCTTTTTATACTGTGAAAATATATGCTCATCACCATGGGGACAGATTAACGCCTGATGAAATATTTCTATACCAGCTATATTTGTGCAAATTCAGGGTGCTGGAAAGCCACCACTCCTCTTGGTACAAGTGGCAGAGCATAAGCATAGATTATGTTGACTACTAAGGATGAACAAAGGTTATATCATCTGTTCAGGTCTGGATGGCACCTACAATCTCAAAAGTGGGTGTGTGCCATGATAAAACACGTGTATCTTACAGAGACATGTAACAGCAGCACATAAAATGACCTATGTATAGCTGAAAAATACAATTCAGAAGTGCCTCAAGATGATTCTAAGTAGAAATAGAGTAGGGTGTCCCCTGTGTAATTGTAGCATGGACCATTTTGCAGGGTCACCTGTACACGAGCAAGGCAGAGGCAATGCAGGCTGCTCTCATCCCACAAGGTGCAAGAGTATCATCCCACGCAGCTGAGTTCTGTGATTAAACACTGCAGACCTGCCTCAGAGGGTTTTGGTCACCCAGCTATCACTACCCCCAAGAATTTGCAGGCATGGTACAAGAGGTAGCAATATCCAGGCACACATTCACATTTGCATTTACAGTACCCTGTTTATATCCAGTCAGCCCTTTCTGCATGCAAGGAGTTTACTGAGCATTTAAGTCTCTGCTCTCAGTCAGCAGGACTCTGAGTCAGAGCTGAAAAACTGAAGTGACAAGCCTCAAATCCCCGTTTGTGCTGCCTGAAACTGAAACATCTGAAAAAAACATCTTCCTTACTATATCTATCTACATACACCTGGCCATCTGAAATAAGTTTAGGAGTCTTCCTAAGATGAATATATAATGTAGACAAATGTCTGTAGGACATAATGTCATGAAAAAACAGTTTCCAAAACAAGGAGTGTTTATTCCTGAATTACATTTTTGCTGCTCCCATCCATTGCTAGTAGACACATTAAAATCCTGAAAACGTACACTGAGTTAAAGCAGGTAAAATACACACAACAAAGGCAGAGGATAAATGAAGATGACTGACATTATCTCAAGTCTCATTATGCATTAATATGATCAGACAAAAAGATGTTCAAGACAAGCCTTTGAGCTTTAATGCTTAGAAGTACGAATCTCCAAGAACTGAAATATTAATACAGGATGGTTACTTCAGTGGGTGGCTTCCCTTCACATCTGCATATATGTTCTTTGGTATACAATAACTCATGGCCTAACCATTCATTCCTGTCATTTACATGCATTAAACATGTGAGAAGTTTATATTTCACATCATCACCAATAAATAGTTTTGTTGCTCCAAAACACGGACACGCAGCATCAGTGGCAGGGGTTTTTCTTATTTTCTTTCAGTACAGGAGAAAAAATTATTTTTTACATCTGGGTGAAAATGTTTCAGTTTGTAATATTTGTATGAAAAAGTGTTTATTTGCTATTGTGGGCTTTTAACACTCTCTGATTGTATTTGTATCTGTAAAACTTGTTAAGTGACTAGCTTAAGGAGCTTTTGTTTCCATTCCACAGGTTGGAATTTCATGAGTTTAAAATCATTGAGATAAAATGAAAACTAAACCTAGTATTACCATCACAGGATAGGGAAGAGCAAATAAATACTGATGAGTAATGAAGGAACACTATTCTTGGGCTGCACTGTCCTAATGCTAGAGATTGTATTATCCAGCATTTCAGTTCCAAAAAGATAATCACTTACTAGATCTGGAACACCAGGATTCCCATTTAGTTCCCAAGACCAATCTGAGAATACCATGAACCAAACTCAAAAAAGCTGTCCATGAGGAACAACAATCACTATTGCACACACTGCTGGATGAGAAATGCATGCAATGCCAGTTGCTTCTCTGTAGTAGGAATCCATACTCCCAGTTTAAGAAAAAGTTATCCATGAGACCCTGGGTGAAGAAATATACCCAGGTACCCATGCAGCAATAAATCCGTGTCCTGAACTGGGTAAGCCATCAGGTGGGTGAGTGGGTGACTCGGGTCTGGGACAGGTTTGGCCTTTCTTCCATGTTTTGAATGCAGTTACATCTCAGCCAATTCTATCAGTGTAGTGACCATTGGTCTAGACTGCACCCTATAAACAGTTTAGAGTGCTGCAAAAGCACTCTTGAAGGGATTAAGTCCATGAAATGCCATTAGATAAGTCACTGTTTCTACTATCAATGTATAAAATAATCTGAGAGTTTAGATTTTGTATTGGATTAGTGAATTACCTGTGCCCTGTAAGCCAGTGTGGAGACACTCACCTGGAACACTCCCACCCATGTAGAAATGGAACTCAGACTTGCATCACTGACTTAATCCATCAGTAATTTAGATAGATTCCTCTACCTAAATTAGGGAAGTGCCCTCTAAATTACTAATGACTGTAGGTCTGTAGGCCTTGATTTCAGTACTTTAATAAATGTACAACAGAGAAACCCTCGATTTCTTATGCCGTACTTGGCCTTTTCCAGTTGGTAAAGGATTATGTTCTCACATACACATTCTCTCTCAATGCATTCAAATTTTATACTAATTCTGTGATTTCATATTTGCTCATTTAAAGAAAAATTCATGTTTCATTTTATGTATGAGTGAAGTACACTATTTGTACACATCTAAAACATGCCACCTATGTAACAGAAAAGAGGAGTTTGATGGGTATGTAGCTTCATAATTATAAGGAAAAAAAGAAAGGAAAAAAGAAAAAAGTCACTAGAATCTTAAGGGTGTTATTTCAGTCAGCAAATAGAATTCCAAATAAATCCTAGGAACAGAACATGTGGAAGTCATCTTTTCAGTCATTCTTGGGATAAAAAGGACATTTTAAAACATTTATAGTATATAGAAATCCTAAGTGCTTTCTTTCTTCCAAAATGTTATCTCTAACAGGACTTTAGCATGCTATTATTTAACTCACAAGTTTAATTCAAGATTCCTTCAGATTTTGATGTGAAGCTGTAAAATAGCCCTAAAAACTCAGATACAAAGAACCTTGACCTATTTTCTACTTAATCAGGATGTTTAAAAAAATAAGCTGTCATAAATCTGTGCTTTTGCTATTCCAAGTTGTACAAAAATAATTTCATTAATAACAACAGTCTCTGCAAAGTCTTGTGGCAAAAAACAAAGTAGCTATTTTTTCCACAGGAAAAGCTTTGCACTCAAAAAAAAAGAAATTATTTATGAAACACAATGCATGAATCCAATGAAAGAGGCTAATGTCCTTTTGAGCTTGCCTCAGTATGTTATCTAAATGTTATGGCTTTAGGAGATTTAGTAAGTCATTTAAAGTGAGTGTAATGTTGCAGCAAGATTTTAAGGGATAGTGCTAGAAAATGAAATATCTTGTTATTGTGGTAGAGCTCCAGTCTGCAAATCAGGGTAGTCCTCATGGCTTCATCAGAAGATCCTATGGATGTTGGAGGAGCAGTTCAGCATTTCAGTCTTTTTTTCTCTCTGCCAAGTACACCAATGAGGCATCCTATAGAACTGTGAATAATTTGTATAAGATACTGGGCTGTAGGTCCCCAAACCTCTCAGCTCAATCAGATGACATCAATGACTTTTTCTCATCCACATAAGCAGCTATTACAACTCAAAGGTAAAACATTTATCTTTTAAAAGACCATAATTATACAGCTTCCAGCAAAGCTGTTGGAGTAAGGACCAATTCAAATGCAGTGAATGAGGAAAAAAAATGTACAAAGATAAATGGTGACAGTAGATCACAGCCTGCATCTCTTTAATTTTATATTTATATTTCTTTTCAGCTGAATCCCCATGACAACCACTGTTAAGACACTCTACAAAAATCTATTTCAACTCTATTTGGAAAACCAGTCAAGCTACCCTAAAGACCACCAGACAGAGGCATTTAGTCCTTTGTCCCATTCCAGTCAACATTATCCAACACAGTCGAAACAAGAACAAAGAGCCAGGAGCCTGGGATTACATGTGACAATCCTCTCCCACCAACCCTCTTCCTATGTAGGAGCATTAATTCCCTCTGGGGTTTGAGTATGAGAATTGAAACAGCTAAAGGGTCAGGCAGGACCACAAACTGTACTATTTAAAAACTTGTCTTCAGGCAGCTGCCTAAAAAAAGCAGAAAAAAAAAAAAAAAAGGAAAAAAAAAAAAAAACACAACAAAACAAAACAAAACAAAAAAACAACACCCCAAAAATGAACACTAATGAAAAGCAGTTTTCCAAGGAGTTCTTCAATGCACCCAGAAAGTCTGACTGCCCAGATATATTTTCAGACATGTTCAGTATTTTCATTGCAAAACCAACCCTTCCGTGCTTCCTCCTAATCCAAACAGCTTCCCCTCTCCAGACTGGGAGTGCTTCCATGCTGCAAGGAGAAGTTTACTTGTCTCACATTTTATAGAAAGAAGAAGATTGTGTGGGAAGAGGTTCCAGGGCAGCCTACCCAAGCCTACTGAGACCACTGGGCCCTGACCTCAGCTAGCTCATTGAAAATTTATTCAGGTTTTCTTGTGTTCTCTGGCTTTCTTTCAGTGAAGAAGAAGCTTGACTCTTAGACTATCTGATCTGCTATTGCCATATATTATTTTTACTCTTTTGAACTGTGGCATTCAAAAAACATTTTATGTTAAATTGACAATTTATGTTAATTTGGAGGAAATATCAGCTGCAAATGTCACAACAAGCATCCTATATCATGTATCCAAATCTGCCTTTCATGAGACCCAGAACCAGAGTGGCTTGAAGAAAAATTAAACCAGAATGACAGAAACATCCAGAGCTTCAGAGGCACATGAAGACAAACATGACCAAGAAGATGATATTCAGATGAGGTTATCTACCCAAATCCAGGATAATGCATGTTCCCATACAAATTCCACCCACTCTTTATTTTCTCCATCTCCATTAGAAAAAAGGTCCAGCACCCTGTTGCTATGCTACAGTTGCCAGTGTCTGGTTTTCTCACAGCCACAAACAAACCAAGCTCATTTCTCACCAGAACCAAACTGGTCAAGCAGAGCTACAGGCAACCAGTGTGCCCCAGTCCCTTTGATGTCAGCCCCACTCTTTCATCACCACCTTTGGCATCAGCCCCTGTAAAAGGGCTGGTCACAGGAAGCCTCGGGCACGTGAGAAGCAGGACTCCTGTTTCAACAGAACTTTAGACTGTCATCTTGTGCAGCCCCTTGGGACCAAGGGTTAACTTTACTGAACACAGTGGAAGTGCACGCAGTCCTAATGCCAGGCCAGAGACTTGTCAAGCAAGCAAGTGAACTGTATCCCTGCTATTTCTCCTTCCTCAGTATTGAAGTGAGAATATGTGGGTCTAATTAATCTCACATACAACTTCTGAGCATGCCTCTGGTCTCAAGAATTTCAGAGAGCAGGCCTTAGCAAAGAGCACCTCTCCTGCTTTCCAAACCCCACAGTTACTGACATTCTGCAAACACGGCTTGAATCTATAGTTACACAGAGACTGCACTTTAAGCTGCCCAAAGAAACCTTGAGTTTTAACATAAAATAGTGTGTGAGAGTTCGCAGAAGTTGAAAGCAAAGAGGTGCTACCAGCTAGCATGCTTAAAGCACGACTGTGATTGGTGAGAACTCAGGGTTGACACAAGACAACAATATTTTAAAGCCACATTAGCTCTTCAGAGGAAATTAAATAAATTGGAATGAGACTGACACTTATTTTTCAACCTTGTTCTTTTGGAGGCAATCACTAATAGTCAGGAAGTAGGCATGGGCTAAAAGGGTGAGTGCTGTCTAGGAGCACTGGAACCAGGATGATCATGGTTCCTCTGGATCTCAGGAGTGGAATTTAACAAGGCCAGAACAACTGAAGTAAGTGGAGGAATTTGCACCTCTCCCCCATCACTCTTCTCTTCCCAGAGGCAAACTTTTCCTGGTCTTGCCTTATTTATTTCCTCTCATCTTGATTACTCCTTAGGATTATTCCTTTCTGATATTTTCTGTGTCTAAAAAGTCATGTCAGCCAGCCAGCTCACTTTTCTTAAATCTGCTTGGCCAGAAGTACAACTGCAAACACAGATTTATAAATGCCACTAAGGTTTTGCGAGGTATTAATGCTGCTTATTGGTATTACTGCCTTGCCATGTCTTTCAAGCAGATATATTGCAATCCTAAGGAAAAAAAGTGCAATTTCAAAACTTTTTTTTTCCAATATTTCTATTTATTTTCTTTCTATTATGCATGTATATGACATAGTCTTGAAAGGAATCTATATCAGACTGAGACATCATAAAAAACAACAGCCCAAAACTAGAAGAGTTGCTTTCCTTTACCCCAAAAAGAAATAGTTAATATCATCTTGAAGTATCATATAAAGTTTTTATTTGGATTTTAAAAAAGCAAACCAAAAAAGTCTCTCTCACACACACAAACAAAAAAACACCCCACAAAAAACCACTAACACTATACTCATAACTGAAGGGAGAATGTGAAATAGTCTACATGAGTAAAGCTTTGTTTAGGGTATGAGGATTTTTTTAATGGCTTAAATTATTGTATTTTTTTTCCCTGAAAAGCTAGCCAAAATTTTGATGGGGATTACTGCAGTGGAAATAAACAAGTGGAAATCATCCAGATTGCCTTTGATATTTATTAAATGCTCTAAGAATTAATAAGGGTTCCTTTAATCTTTCATCCTTTGCTGTGCCTGTGACATGTTGATTTCCAGAGCAGCTGCTTTATATTTAAGTAACCTCATGCCCATCCACAATTCAACACTGAAGCTGTTGGGTTTCACTATGTTTTTGTTGTCATACCCTAATTCTCTTCACACCCTAATTCTTAGATCTCTCACTCCATCATTTGAATGTGATAAGAGCTTTTTAGGGGTAGCAGTGCCAGACAGCAAAGTGAAGGGAATAACTATATCTGAATCTTCCTAGGATGGGCAGCATACCCTCTCTGCCCATTTAAACAAGCACAAAGTAAAGCAGCTGCCCTCTACTATTTAGGGAAAAAAAAAAAAATTAAATAGGAAAAAAATATAAGAAAACAGAAAAAGAAACGAAGCAGACAAATAGAATAATCTCAGTGGGGAAGGGGATGAAAAGAGAAATAGGAGAGACATGTCTGAAAATTAAATAATAAGTGAAGAAACATTCCTGTTTTGAGTTTTGACAAGAAGTGTTTGCAAAACATTTCTCAAATTCAAATGCCACCTTTAAAGAACAGCTCTTTACAGGGCAAAACAGACAGCAAGTTAACATTTCTCAAGTACCTGCTGAACTAGAAAACACATCGTTTTCTGCATATTTCAAATTCATATAGACACTTCCAAGATCACGTATGTGTGAGGACTGAGAAATAAACCCAGTTACTTGTAGTCCTCCAGGGTGCACCTAAATTGTGACCCCAGGTTCCCCTCTCAGCCCCAGCAGATGTTGTTTGTCTGCACCCGGAGCTGGCTGTACACTGTACTCACCAGCTGACTGCTGTACCAATACAGCGATGACTCCTTTAGCACACACCAGAACTTTTTCCATTTGTTGCCAATGAAAGCTCCTTTTTCCTTCTTTTTGTAGAGCCATCCTTGGCAATCGGCTTGCCCCAGCTCTTTGCACGATATCCTCCGTCGGCTCATTATAAAGAACCCTGTGCCATTAAAAATACAGTGTTGTGCTTGCTTAAAACTGCATTACCAGGAAAGATGTTGCTGCCAATTAAGGCTATCATCCTTACTTCAGAATCTCAGCAAGTCATCCAAGCATATCTTAAAATATACTTAGAAGCCATTCAGTTTTATAATGGCTGTGACAGTAACACACAATCATTTGAAAGGCTTGCTGATGTTCAGAAATTAAACAGTAAGCTATAGATAATGCAGATACTAATTAATGCTAAGATAACCATACATGAGTTTCTGTAAATTAAAAATACAGCCTTTGATCCTTTTAAGAGAAGCATGCATGTAGTTTCCCTCACACAGCTGCACTGAAAAGGATACATCTCTTTAAGTCAGCTAGAGAAAACTATTATGCCAAGTACATGAAAACCACCAGCATATATGTCTGTGCAGGCAGCTGATTCTACCTCACTGATTTCCAGCTTTGATTCAATTAACATACCACAAGGATTTAGTCCAAAGGAACAGCCTGTTGTCATTTTTCTCAGAATCGGTGTAAGAATCAGTGGAGTTAAAAAGCAGCGTTTTACCAGATGAGTAACAGTACAAAATCCTCACCCTCCCAAGAATAAGACATGCTAAGAAAATAACAAAAGAGGAATCCAGGAGGGAAAAGAAAAACAATCTCTCATTACCTTGACTTTTCTTTTTTGCCTTCTGACGCAAAGGAACCTGTAAGAAATGCAGGAAGGAAAGAAAAGAGGAAATTTCAGATTGTGTTGCAACATTTGTGTAGAAAGGGGAGGGGGAAGCTAGAGAAGGACGTGGTGGTGATGCTGGTGGTATATGCAGGATGGAAACACATAACCCACTCACTGCTGAAGGGATGCTAGCAGCTGAAGCAAAAAACGTGTTAATTAAAATTGATGTATACCTAGTTGAGCAAGAGCAAACACAACCCTATTACACGTGTCTATCTACTACTGCTTCCTGTTTCACATCCACAGACAGCTTCTACTTTGCTGTGTTTGCCCAAATGGTATTCTGTATTTTGAAGTTAAAAAATAGAAGCTCAAACTCCAGCATTTTAATGCTTCATTAGGCTCCACAAGGAGGATTTACAAACATGGGGATATTAAATTCATGCCAGATGACTGATAGTCATTTAACTCATTCTAAGAAATCCTGAAAAAGAAAAAAATTATCTTCATCTTTGCCTTTTTATTTAATGCAGAACATGTACTTTTCCCCTATTAAACAGTTTAATAATATTTCTTAAGGAAAATAAAATCACACAAAATATATGGAAATTTTAGTCACTGCAAAAATAACACAATTGAATTTATGCATTTGCAGTCTACATATTTAATCCCGCATAAACATGTAGAAAATGAAACTAAAAGAGAAGACCACAGAACAAAAAAGGAGGCAATTGAAAATGGAAGATATAGTTTTTGGACTAAATTCTCCTCAGGCAGGCTGGTTGGTTGTGTGATTGCAGACAAAGTACTTGACTTCTCTTTGCCTCAACCTTTCTTTCTCTAGTGTGAGAACGAAAGGATTCACTTTTTTTCTATTTTTAGGAAGGGTTTGAAGCCCCCAGATGACGAATGCTGCATAAAGTGACGCATGATTTAATATGCTGGCCACAATGTTGCTATGCAAAGCCGCTAGCTACCTGATCCGCTGCAGAGCTACGCTATGAACATCCCTAATGTAGCCCCTCCGCCTCATCAGACTGCTCCTCAGGAAAACAAAACCCCATTTCATATCCCTCTTGAAAAATCTGATGGCTCTTCTCACAAATTAAAGGTGAGTAAAGCTAGAGCATCTGCAAACAATGATAGAAGAGCCCACAGTCAGCAGTGTTTACAAGAGCGACAACTTTCTGAAGCAGGGATCTCTGCAGCGTGTACCACAGAGCACAGAGCCGTGTCTTGCAGTCCTGTGCTTATCTGGTGCCTGTTTGACATGACCTGAACAACACTCTTGTGGGAGGCTTTACCAGACATGAAGAATCCCAGACTCCCACTTAATCACTGAGTATTCTTTCTTCCTTTTTCCCTTATTGTTTTATTTTTTTAATTCTACCACTGCCTCTCTCTCTCAAACTATTCTCCATGACAATACACAAAGAAAAGCAATAAGAAAACACATTAGCTCTATTAGAGGTTCTGCTATTTCCTCATCTTTTTCATGTCTTCATTCCAAAGAAACTTATGCCGTATTTAGGACACATGAAAATAATGTATGGCCCCAGGGAATCAATGGGTCACACAAACTAATTGCTTTCCTTTGGAGCTATCCAAAATTATATTAAGAAAAACAAATATGAATCAGGTCTCCTGCCCCAAAAACTATGTAGCAAAGCGACATCACATCTTTGACATGGCACTATATTGGGGTCATTTCATCTCTAACCAATATGAAGTCATAAAAAAGAAGAGCGATACTGAGACAGGATGTGGCTCCTTCTACACAACTGAGGAGGAAGCAATCTTTCCACTAACTATGTTGATGATCTAAAGAAAAATAGCAGGGTCTATTGCTCATGTGCCAGGAAGAGCTAATGCCCATATTATGTAAGACATCCGTTGGGGCCCACTTTATGTCAGACTGAGGCAAAAACTGACCACTTAGTAAGAGCCTGGGCTAGCTAAAATAATTTACAAATTTATGTGTATTAACCTGCAGCAATGATGGCATCCTGCTGTAAGTTGATAGGGGCTATGAACCAACCCTCTCTTCTCTATATTGTGGGAGGAGTTGGGAAATTAATGGTGGAAGGAAGAGCAGTTTCTCTATAGCCAGAACTGCATTTAGTTTGCTTGGATAAAATCGGTGGTAAATCTCTAACAAAATAACTGATGAATGAATTTTTTAAATTAAGATACATTTCTCAGTATCTTAGCAAGTATTCCTGAAAACTGAGGCAAATTTTCAACAAATTAGCACTAAGCCTGAAATTCTTCAACTTCTGGTTATGTTTTAGTGTTGTTCAGAAACCCAGCTCCATTCTATAAAAAAAATATGTGTTCTGCTCCACACAAGAGAAAGCTCCTATCCCCAAATGCAGCAATGAAATGCAGCATGAATCACAAAATTGCCTTCTCAAATTTTGTTGATCTATAAACAAATAAAAATAACCTCTTTCTCCAAAGCACAGTGTTTGGAGTCAGATAGATAACTTTATGAAATAAACAAACAATTTTCAGTAAAGCTGTTTTTATCTTAAACCAATAGAAAACTTGTATTTAAATGAATCTACCACAAAATTCATTAAATGCCTCACCAGCACAGTTTGGATTCAATTGTCCATGAGAATACAACACATTAGCAAGTCCCTAGTGGCAAACCTTTTTTCAAGAAGTGAATTAAAGTTTCCTTCACTGAAAACTCCTTTATAAAAAAGCTAATCATCTTTTATATCAGTGGACCCGAGTGAACATTGATTAAGAGTTACTTTTAAATTTCACTCTTTTAGAGACTCTTACCAGTGCAGAACAAAGAGAAAACTGTGGAAGGCAGAGTTGTTACCAACAAAATGAAGGGTATAGCAGCAGTTTCAGATGTGAATGTAACTAGCAGGCATAGCCACTGGAAAAATCTGGGACTAAACCAAATGTCATGATTTTGCTTTTAACAATGGTGGATATTTTTATATAATTTTCAATTTCCTAATGGGGAGTGATTTATTTCATTATCACACGTTCAACTGTAAAACAAACCAAGAACATCAGATGTATTTCTATTTCTTCTTACAAAGGGAAATCTGAGAGCAATGTTCTCAGGAAGATCTGGGATAACTGCAAAACATACACTTTTGGGCAAGACTGGTAATAGAGAGTAGGTTTTAATTATTTTGGTAGTCTTTGGTTTGCTAAGGACTGAACGGGAACACAGACTTCAAACTTGCTATCCATTACTCCTCCACTTGGCAAACACACCATGAGTGAATTTCAAAGGAACCTATACAACTGTGCATTGTTCATTGCCACTTCTGTGCCAGGCAGGCTCCAGTGATGAGAGAAGTGACAACTTCAGCAGATACTTCTGTCAGTCTAAATGTCCTTTTTTTCCACAGAATCACAGTATGATTAAGACTGAAGGGACTTCAGGAGGTCATCTAAGTCCACTCTCCACCTGCAACTGGTTTTCCAGGACCATTTCCAGATGGTTTTTGAATTTCACCAAGCATGGAGACACCCCACTTTCTCTGGTCAGCCTGTGACACCGCCCAGTCATCCTCACAGTAAAAATGGTTTCCTGATCTTCAGCTGGAAACTCCTGTGTTTTAGTCTGTGTGCATCACTTCTAGTCCTGTCATTGGGCACCACTGAAAAGAATTATAGAATCGTTAAGGTTGGAATAGACCGTTAAAATCATCAAGTCCAACCATCAACCTAGTACCACCACCATGTTGGCCATTAAACTATGTCCTCTTCTTTGCATCCTCCCTTCAGGTATTTATGCACATGGGTAAGAGCCTCTCTGAGCCTGTTTTCCAAGCTAAACAGTCCCAGTTCACTTAGTCTTTCCTCATATCTTAGATGCTACAGTCCCTTAATTATTCTTCTGCCCTTCATTGGGCCTCTTCAGTATATCAGGTGTCTCTTATATTGAGAAGTCATTCCAGAAGTGGCCTCAGCAGCACTGAATAAATTATGACCTCCCCTGACCTGATGGCAATACTTTGTCTGATGTAGCCAAAGATACCATTTACCTTCTTTGCAGCATGGGCACATTGCTGGCTCATGATGTCCACCAAGATTCCCAGGCCATTCTCTGCAAAGCCACTTTCCAGCTCTACAGCCTCCAGCATATACTGGTTTCCCCTAACAGTACTATTTTTGCTCAAATGGAGTAACAATAGGGGATAAAAGTCAGAGGGCTGGACAGGCTTTAGCAGTCTCTGCACAACATCCTGGATCCTGGCCCCTCCCAGGCAGCAAACATCTCTGGATGGATGGTCAGGCCTACAGATGGGTCCTTTGTCCCTTGCAGCAGGGAGTCGCACACTGCAGGGTCTCACCTTTTTTTCCTGGTAGACTGGCATGGTTTACAGTCAAGTGACTGTAAATCTGGCTCCTCTTCAATTATGAGGACAGTCAACCCATTCTTAGATGATGTGGGAACTTCCTCTTTATACAAGAAGTCATCAACTTCCATCCTTCCAATTCTCCAAAGGTTGCTCTTACTTTGATAGAGGACATAGACACTGCCTGCTCTCCACTGCAGGTGGGAACTGGTGGTCTTCACTCTGTTGTGTCTCAGAGAAAACCCCATCTCTCTCCCTTCCACTTTCTCTGGTGCTGCACAGTTTGCACGCTTCCTCCCGAACCTCCTCCACTTCCCAGCACAGCTCCTCCAAGACGGCCTGCAGGGCTGAGAGACATCACCTTTGGCCTCAGGGAGAGGTTCCTGACACCCCCTGAAGTCTGGGACTTGGAGAGCTGCAGCCAATCTGTGTGGAAACCTCTGCCCTAGGAATGACAGCTTCTGGGGAAGCTGCCCTGTTACCACCATGTCTAAGACTGCTACAGCCCCACAGTTTCAATGGATACCCCCTTATTTCACTCCTTCTTCACACCCAGCTGCACAAACTGATGGCTCTGTTGGCTGCTATCCGGGCAGATCCCTCCCAAGCACCAGTTCAAGGACCCTTAACCCTTCCTAGTCAGAGGCAGCTGCATCAAAGACTCCAGGAGTGCTGGGTGAGACACAGCCTGCAAACACCTCAAGAATAAAAATGGGGTAAAATAGGTACATAAGGCTGTTTCAGGGGAAAGAGAAAAAAAAGTCTACATGGAAAAGCAGGGGCCTTGGGCTAATACATTTTATCCTTATAGCAGAACTGGGGCAACCTCTCCACTTGGGCTGGCCCACAAGAAAGATGCTTTTCACATGTGCTGTTCTTTTATGCTGTTCATGGTCTTTGTGACTACAAGGATATAATCCCAACATATGACCTCTTTAGATGATAAATAACTCTGGCATAGCTTCAATCGTACTTACAAGAATATTGCCATCAGCTTCCATGAATGGTCTCAAAGCTCAATGGAAAAGCTGTTAAAAGAGAAAAGTTTGTGTACTTAAGCTCTGTATTACATTTTCATATAACATAAGTCTTGACAGTAAACAAAGATTTTCAAGCATTTTGTCCTGCTAACTCTACCGTCTGACTACTCCAAATCCCTAAAAAAAAAAAAATTTTTGGAGACAATCCTATGTTATGTGAACTGATTTTACTGATTTAGAAATCAATAAGCAGTAAGTAACATTAACTCAAAAGTATTCAAGCTTATTTTTATGAAGCAAACAGAACAAAGCTCATGGATGTGGCCAGAGGGTTGCTTCTTGGTTGGTTGTGATAGGTTTTGGAGTTAGCTAGGATTGGAGGTTTTTGGGGTTTTAGGAGGAAATGCAAGAGAGAATAAATAAATAAAATTGGGAGTGGTTTGTGGTTTTTTTTGTTCATTTTGGTCTTTAGTTTGAAAGAAATCTATAGCATTTGGGTTCCTGCTTTGGGTGAGTAATTCCCAGCATTTTCTGGGAATAAAAATTAAATAATTTTCTGGTTCTCCTAAATGGGGTGAGACCTCAAACCATACTACTCATTTTATAATGGGTTGAAATTTTCCTTTCTGGAGACCAACATCTGTGCAGTCCAACAGCAGACACTGGATTTTCCAGACACCGAGTTAGTAGATATCCATTTAGGTGGCAGATGAGGTGATTTCATTTGGTTAACACAAGTACTTTTCAGCTCCCTGCATGATTTTCCTTTGTTTGATAGAATGGGCAAATGATGAATCGGTGCAGTGTACAAGATGAATGAAAACATACCAATGTTTTAGTCCCAGCAAAGTTCCTGTAAAACTCACCCCTCTGCATATGAAAGAATCAAGGAGGAAAATGGAAGAGGATACAAAACTTGGCTGAAGCAAGCAAGAAAGGATTTCCAGAAATAGGGCCACACTTCAGAAGAATTTCTAACAAGAACATTTTCCTGTTACTAGAACCAGTTATTTAAGATATGTGCCACTCCTCATACATAATATTTGTCTTAGTTTGAAAATAAAATCTTTAAAAAGAAAATAAAAACCCACCTACTGGCTTCCAGCAATTTCAAACCAAAAATAGAAAGGCAAACAAATACATATTTTTCTGGCTCCCAGCCATTTCTCTTCAAAAGTAGAAAGATACACTTTCTATAAGTAGCTCAAGTTGAAGTAATATCATGATGAGGAGAGATGTTATGGCCAATAATTTCAAGGATGTTTAGAAATCATAGCTAGTACAAACAAGCAGAGGAAACACCTTGAGTTATACAAGTAAATTAACAGTGATCCTCAAATACGGAGCAAGAAGGAACGGGAATAACAGACCATATCACCACAGTAATTACTGTGATGTGGCCTTTTTCCTGTCATTTCTTAATTTCATGGGTGCCTTGGGTTTGGGGAGGAACTGCACAGCTTTGAATCACACAGTCCCAGGAGCAAGGGGAGAAGCATTAGTTAAATGGCAAGGCAATGTTTCCTCCTGTGTGCTTTGTGCCAAAGGAGTTGAAATGGATTTCAGCTAACCCTTCTCAGTGACTTTAACACAAACATTTGTTTACTTTCCAGAAACTGGATAAGAAATTTTGAGCCAGCATCCAGTGTTCAAAAGCAGCATTGACTTCTGTCCCATTCTAGTTAAAGAACATAATTTATTGTTTCCTGTGTCATGAAAGATACTTAAAAAATCACAGTCACTGCAGAAATGACTCTTAGACACTTAACCTGTGTTTCTCCTAAGAAAGCCCAACCTGAGTGAGATTAGTTACTCCGTGAAAAGGCATTAGGTTTTTTTTATCCACTCGAGTGTACTCAACTGTTTCAAAACTAACATTTCAGAAGGGCATGACCTTCTTATCTCTGCAGTAGAGCAAAATAAGGGATTCCTTTCAAATTTTTGCAGGTGTACTGTGGGAAAACTATATAAACAGCCAGGTGAATTAGGAGAAGGAGCTGGATAAATGTGGCCACTCAAAGAGAGCCAATCAATGTCCACCCTACTGGATGGTCCAGCATGGCTCTGCAGGGGCTGGCTCTGGGAACCACAGCCCCCTGCCCCTCAATAAGCCCCTCACACAGGCTGCAGCTGGGAGCTGATGGTGGGCAGTGCCCCCCACTTTTCCCTCTGTGTCTGGCAGTGGTCACACCACGGCAGCCCAGGGCCGTGCTCAGGGCTGGCAGCTTGGCCGACAGAAAGGTTTCCCAGGCCATGAAGGCTCCACCTGAGCTCAGGAGCTCTGCAAGTCAGTGGGAGGTTAGTAAGGGACAAGCCTTCAGTTCACATCATCAGGAAGGTGTCCTGACTCCTGGCTGCAATGGCTGCAGCAGGAGAAGACTCGGCCCATTTCCCAGCACTCGCAGTGTGGCGTTACAGCCTGAAGACCCGGTGTATCCTTGTCCTGACCTAGGTGGACATGGAACTTGAAGAGGGGTGTCACCCCGAAAGGTGGGTGTGGGATTCTAGCCCTCTTCTAAAACTCTCCACTTGCACCAAGATAAATTCTAGTAACAGAAGGAGTGGAAAACCCTCCAGCCTACTGATTAAGGTACCCACATGGAAGACTTGCAACAGGATTGCCGTCTGCTATAATGGATGCTCAGTTTGCTAAAATTAAAATAAATCAAAGAGACAATAAATCAAAGAGAGAAAATTAAACACAGTAAACCCTCTCCCATTTCAGATGGCTTCAGAAACAGTAAAACAAACTTGAATCTCTCATTTTCTGGAGGCTAAACTGCAATTGATGTACTCAATAAAAGCAAAGGGGATGGATTTATATTATCAGTTTGTAAACTATATCTGTATTTCTTTGGCTTTCTATGAGTTATCTGAACCACCTGATTTCATTTCAGTCTGAATTAAATACAATGTCAAATGTGGTTTCAGTTAGAAGATTTGTAAATCAAGTTCTTGAGGGCTCTTTTTATTTTGATTTAACAACTGAACATTAAGTATTGGAGTGCATAGTTTTATAAGTCTCACTTCACCCTTGCTTTTTCAAGAAGAGTAATAAACAAGTACCTATGTGAGCAATTAGCTCATGAAAAAAACATGGAAACGGGACAGGTGTTTTTGGAGAAATATCTTACAATAATAGATCGAGGTAGTCTATTTGACTCATCATCTCTCCTAAAATATATAGAAATATTTCTATAAAGAACAAATGTCATTTGAAAGGGTGGGAAAAGGGGGAGACAAAGAGAACACTGAGGTTCTAATGACTCTAATTGCAAAAATCAATTCATTAGTAATATTCCTCTTGGGAAAATCAAAATCCACAAGGCCTTATGCTGTCTCTTGCCAATTACAAGCTACAGTGAGTATGTCAATCTGCAATGATCATAGCATAAGCCTGCCAGACATGCCTTCCAGTCATCTCTCAGATGACATTCCGAGTGGACATATGCCTTCCTGCTTCTGAGCAAAATATTTGATATATGCAACATGAGTCAGACTATTTGTGTCACAGAAGCACCCAAAATGTGCATAGCTAAGTTCCTGTTCAGTGGCATCAACACAGACTACTCCAAAAGAAAATTTATGTTTTACCAAGCACCAAGCCAGGGCTGTAGACAACCTGGAAAATAAGCTCTGAGCCTTCTGTTAACATTGCTCACACTGGTCACAGCTTTAACCCCTGTGCTTGTTTTCTGTTCATTTGGCTGCCTGCCACAATCTGCACTTCAATGGGCAATGAATTGACAGGTGATATGAAACGAGTGAGAGTGGTACAAAAGTTTCCCCCTGAAAATCAATGATTACTTAATCACAAATTTCACCAGACATTAGGAATAACATTGCCCCAATTTACAGCAGCGCTTGAAGCACTGTCCTGTGGCAAGGAGACAGCCTTACATAATAGTCCTAAATTATCACCTTACCTCTAACTGGGGTTCTTGCAACAATGCAGGGGGAAAATGATCACAGTGATTGCAAGCTCTTAATTGTCCTTAGGCTTACTAGAGATCAATTTAATCTGACAGAACCTTACCATTAACCACAAATTAGGCAGCTCTAGTCAGGTACTTAACTGGTTAATCAGCTAAATTGACTGTCTAACTTGTACAAGGAGTTTCTTGGCCTGCAGATTTTCTCTCACATACAGGCTCACCAGGGAAGAGAGACATTAAGGTGGTACTTTGCCTCAGGGCAATGACAAATAGACACTAAGGTAATTTTCACAAAATTCATGGACCTGTTCCCATTCTGGATAAGGTTGCCCCGCCCACTTTGGTCCCCATGACCTCATGTTTCTAATTACGGGTGAAACTACAGATTCACCACTGGCATCAGAAAGAGCAAGTCTATGAAAATATAGTCAAAAGACATAATTTTTAGAGTATATATTCAGCTTTGGCCACAATGGATAAATAACCTTTTGAATAAGCGTTACACTTTGAAAAGACCAAAGGGCTCTTTTTACAGGCTTAGCAGCAAAAAACTGCATTTTTTCGTATCTAATATATTTATATTTTTTAACACCATTGGTTATAACATTGTTTTCAAATGCATTTGGAATTACTCCATCCCCTCATGTGAAAGCAATTCAAAAAGATGACTTCTGACTCTGTTTGGGAGAAGGCCAGGAAAAACTGGAACAAAGTTCACTGCTCCTGTGTTGGAGACAGAAAGGGTTTGGAGACATCACCCTGCTTGGATCATGGCCAGGTCCTGTCAGCCCAGCTGGGAAGCCCAAGGGCAGCAGGTTATATGTGCTGACAGCTCTGAGCAAGCAGCTGCAGGAGTCAGTGCTCTCTGCCTTCAGGAGAAGAAGGGCTGGAAAGAAAGAGGAAGCTCAGCAGAGGGAAGACGCACTCCAGCTGCTTCTGTGGCCTCACAGACTAAAATGAGAAAGGAAAATGGCATGCTTAATGAAGTGTGTCTGCCCCACATTCCTTGTAGTGTTGAGCTAACTCCTCCTAGTGCTGCTATGCTTGAAGGCCAAGGAAGAGTTTGCAGAAAAGTTGAGTGCAATGCTTCAATTTCTACGGCCTCCTTACTGG